ACCAGGGCATGGTGGTGGGTGCCTATAATCCCAGCAACTCCAGAGACTGAGGAATGAGAATCTCTTGACCAGGAATGCAGAGGTTGCAGCAAGCCAAGATGGCACCACTGCACTCCAGCCCAAGCAACAGTGTGAGACTCTGTCTCAAAAGGAGAAGAAAAAGAAAAAAGGGATTCTAACATAGTAGGTGTGCCCTGGTTAAACCACCACATAAATACCCTTTCAATCACATTAATAACCATGAGAAGGCAAGTTATAATAATGAGATATTATTTTGTTTTTACTGACAAGATTCATCAAAAAAAAAAAAAAACTGAAGACTGGTAATTGAACACTTAGATTAGACATTTATTGTTCTTTAATAAATAAAATTGAAAACAAAGTTATGAGTTAATATTATTCCATAAGAGTAGGATTTAAAAAAATGTACAAAAACCAAACATGAAATAAATATATACACATAAATTAACCTCTATGTGGTCATCCTGTCATTTAGTCTTCTCTTTCTTTTTTGTTTTCTGCTACATAAAAATTCTCATTCAAAATGTTTTATATTAAATAGGTCTTAAACCAAAAATAAGAAAGAAAAAAAAAAAAACTCCCTACCATTTTCTGTTTTAGTTCTGCTACTAAGAAAAACTACTTAGATAAGTTTTTCCTGCAACTAAGAAAGAAACCAGCCACTTCAATCTACACTACTTCAAACTTGCCCATGTCTGTTCCTTTTGTCCCATACCTGGGGCTCCTGATCCACATACATGCCCCACTTATGAAAGAACGTCACTCTAATCTTCTCTCAATTATTCACAATTTCTTCATAGATTCACTTTTCTTAGCCTATAAAATATGTTCAAGGCCCCCTTACTGAAAGCTACCAATATCTGAACTTCCTCTTCCAGAAAATTCTTGAAAAAAATGGCATCGAAAAAGCGACAATGTCTTTCGTATCCAAACTGTTTTAAGTCAGGATGGTGTTAGATCTATGAATGACTTAGGAATAATAACCAATTGCTTTAAAAGTACATGTAAGCTTTCCATGGAGTGCGTTTTTGAGGAGGAGAGAGATGAAGCATAGTCCAAAGTCAATTTACTATATAATTCTATACAGGTCACAAGATTTTGTTGCAATTAGAACCAGAAACAAAATATCTACAGAACATACACCAATGAAAAGGAAAAGGAAATCAAAGCACATATTGATGCCAAAAAAGGCAAATAAAAAAACAAAACACAAAAGGCAGTAACAGAGAAAATAAGCAAAAAGCCACAAAAAAATACAGGACAAAAGTATCTAAATGACAATAGTTGATCCTTTCTTTCAGAAAATACTTTAAACATAAATGGATTCTCCAATCAAACATGTAGATGAGCTGCAAGGATAAAAAAGCGAGATTCAATCTTACTCTTCATTATAAGAGACTCATAAGAGTCGTATAACAGGACTATGTAGGACTTTGATTACTGTGTAACCAAAGAATAACCATAGCTTCAAAGTGAATAGACGGACAAGGATATTCCCTGCATATGATAACCACATGAGAGCAGAGCTTGTTGTATTAATATCACATAATATAGAGTAAATAAAAAACTTTCACAAAAGCAGGAAAAGACACTATCATAAAAAGGTAATTCATTCGAAAGATAAAATTATAAATACACAACAAACAGAACTCTAAAATATATAAAGCGAATGTTGACAGAATTAAAGAAAAAATAAATGGCAACACAATAATTATACAAAATTTCCATAATTCACTTTCTATTCAGCTAGACAAAAAAAATCAAGGAAAAAAGGATTTGAACAATAAAACAATTAGACATATGCTGAACACTAATCCAACAACAGCAGGGTACACATTCTTTTCAAGTGCACATAGAACATTCCCCAAGACAAACCACATGTCAAAGTGAGTATTACACAAGTTTAAAGTAACAGAAACCACAGGAAGTATCTTTTCAGTTATCAATGAAATGAAAACAGAATCAACAGAAGAAAACTGGAAATTCACATATATATGAAAATTTAACAAAACGTTCTAAACCAATGGGTCAGAAAAAATTACAATGACAATCAAAATATTTCAGCAATTAAAAATAAAACATACCAAAACTGGGACAAAGCAAAAGCAGTCCCAGAGGAAAGTTTATAGCTGTCAATGGTGACATTAAATCTCAACAAGCTAACTATAAATCTTAAAGATGTAGAAAAAGAACTAAACCTAAAGCTAGCTGAAGAAAGGAAAGATCACAGCAGAGATAAATAAAATACAAAATGGGGGAAAAAAAAAATAAATCAACCAAACTAAGAAGAGACTGTTTGAAAAAATCAACACAACTAACAGAACTCCTTACACAAAGAGTGGATGAAAAAACCTCAAATAACTAAAATCAAGAATGAAAGAAAAGACATACAGCCAATGCAAACAGAAATAAAAAGGAGTCTAACAAAATACTTTGAACAACTATATGTCACTAAATAGTTTAAGCTAGAAAAAATGAATGTCAGTTGCTAAAAACACAATCTACCAAGACTGGATAATGAAGCATTAGAAAATCTGAACAGATTTATAATTAGTAATGAGGCTGAATCATTAATTTAAAACCTTCCAACAAGGAAGTCTGTGATCAGATGACTTCACTGAAGAGCTCAACAAACATCTAAAGAATATATAACACCAGTCCTGAAAGTCTTCCTGAAAAATGAAGAGAACATTCACAAATTAACTTTGGAAGAAAGATAATGGAGGCCTCATAAATCTGTGAGTGTTTGCTTTTCTTTTCTTTTTTTTTTTCTGAGACGGAGTCTCTCTGATTCCAGGCTGGAATGGAATGCAGTGGCACAGTCTCAGCTTTCTGTAACCTCTGCCTTCTGGTTCAAGTGATTCTTCCATCTCAGCCTCCCAAGTAGCTGGGACTATAAGCATGAACCACCAAGCCCAGCTAATTTTTTGTTATTTTCAGCAGAGACGAGGTTTCACCATCTTGGCCAGGATGGTCTCAACCTCTTGACCTCGTAATCCCCCGGCCTCAGCCTCCCAAGTGCTGGTATTACAGGCGTGTGCCACCTTGCTGGGCTCCACTTTCTTTTCTACTAAAAAGAAACTAGAGACCAGCATTCCTGATAAATATAGATGCAAAAATCCTCAGCAAAATACTAGCAAACCAAATTTGGCAGTATAGTAAAAAAATTACTATAATCAAAAGTGATTTACTCTTACAATGCCAAGTTGGTTCAACATGTGAATACCACCAAAACAAAGGAGAAAAACCACACAATTTTTATCTTGTTGTAGAAAAAAAAATTTCACAAAATTCAACAACTTTGTATTACCATTCAACAAAACAGAATATTAAAAAAAGGTTATATAAGACAAAGCAAGAGCTAATGCCATACCAAATGGGAAAAAGCTCAAAGCCTTTCTCTAAGATCTGGAACAAGACAACGACCACTCCAACTCAACTCAGTACGGAGAGTCCTAGTCACAGCAAAGAAAGAACAGAAAGATATAAAAAGGCATCCAAATCAGACAAGAGGGAGTAAAACTGGGTCTGTTCAGAGATGATATGATACTATACGTAGAAAAACCTAAAGAATTTAATCAAGGAGGCAGATGACCTATATACCAAAAACAATAAAATATTGCGGAGATAAAAATGAAGACAGAAATACAGGGAACGATCTCTCACGTCTAAGCATTACAAGCACTGTTACCAGTACAATCCAACATAATTTACAGATTCAACACAATCCCAACAATATTTTTTTGCAGACAAAGAAAAACCCATACCAAATATACCCTCAAGGAACCTCAAGTACTATATATTTCCACTGCTCAAATTAGAAATACAGAAATTGGCTGGGCGCGGTGGTTCACACCTGTAATCCCAGCACTTTAGGAGGCTAGGGGCAGGCAGATCACAAGGTCAAGAGATTGAGACCATCCTGGCCAACACTGTGAAACCCCGTCTCTACTAAAATACAAAAATTAGCTGAGTGTGGTGGCACACACCTGTAGTCCCAGCTACTTGGGAAGGCTGAGGCAGAAGAATTGCTTGAACCCAGAAGGCAGAGGATGCAGTGAGCCTAGATTACACCACTGCACTCCAGCCTGGCACCTGGTGACGGACAGAGACTCTGTCTCAAAAAAAAGAAGGAAAAACAAAAATTTCTCAAAGTATTTTTCCCAAACGGGCTACAATAGAGAATTACCTACAGCTTAACACAGGTTCCTTTAGCATGACAGCTAAGGCTTGCCTCAAAACACTAAAGCAGGTTTATAGACATGCTCTTTCAGCAAGGACACACCTCTTGCCAACTGCTAGCAAGGAAATCAGTCCTGCTGTCAGCAATTATGTGAGTGAGCCATCCTGGATGTGGATACACCAGCTTTGAAATAAAGCTGCTACGAGCTGGGCACGGTGGCTCAAACCTGTAATCCCAGTACTTTGGGAGGTGGAGGCCAGCGGATCACAAGGTCAGGAGTTCAAAACCAGCCTGACCAACATGGTGAAACCCCATCTCTATTAAAAATACAAAAATTTGTGAGGTGTGGTGGTGAGGACCTGTAATCCCAGCTATTCAGGAGGTTGAGGCAGGAGAATCACTTGAACCTGGGAGGCAAAGGTTGCAGTGAGCCAAGATCTCACCATTGTACCCCAGCCTGGTCAACAGATCAAGACTCCATCTCAAAAAATAAAAAATAAAAGAAAAAAACTGACACCCACAAAAACTAAAAGATAAGTTTGTTGTTTTAATCTGTTAAACATGACCAATTTTTTTATGAAGTAAAAGATAAATAAAAGACAAATATCCTGCCTCCACTTACTAATTACCTCAGTGACAAAAAAGGAAAAATAATATTAGCAGCAACCTCTATCAGACCATGGTAGCCTCACAGATCTCTCTCACTGATCAATTTTATTCCACAAAACATTTCTGTCAACATCTCCTACCCAAACTGCTAAAACTATTGTTTTAATTCTTCAGCTGGCAGACTCACCTCCAATGCATCCTCCACACAGCCACCAGAATTATCTCCAAGCTTTCTGCAAAACAAAAGCAGATTTCATCATGAACCCTTTCTTATAAAAGGAAAAAGTCCCACTTCAGGGCTTAAAAATAAAATCTAAGTGCCTTAATCTGGTAAGGTGAAATCACTTATGATCCTGTGTCAATCAAACTACTTTTTAGTTTCATGTCCCATAATTCTCTTCTAAATATTTGGTGTTTCTTCCACGTTATATTAGTAGTATTTCTATAAAATGTACAACATACTTCCTTTAAACTGTTTCCTTTCAGTGGAAGTACTTTGTCCTAATTCATGGAATTGCCAAAATCCCACAGTTTTTAAGATGAGCAAACGGTATTCCACCTCAAACTATGATGTTTTTCAACTCTTCTACTATTCCACATTTCCCACACGTATTTAAATAAAGCACTTACCACACTGTGTAAGTAAGTACCTATATGGCCACTAGAAGTAGAGCATTGAAAGTGGAGACTAATCATTTTTACATGATGAATAAATGAATACAATTCAAATGCAGCCCAGTAATAACTAAGTCCAAGTCTCTCCACTTTGCAATTTCAATGAGGTTAAACAATCTGCTCACTGATTGGTAAAAGACAGAAGGGTAAACCCAAGTTTCTTGACTAACACCACAACTCTTTTTTAATCACTACACTCCCTCAGTCAGTCAGAAATGCTGCTTTACACAAGAGTTAGTTTTGACTCTCAGAAACGGCCCAGAGAAATCTTTCCACATCATGTACAAAAAACAATTTTATTCCGTTTTATAATGGAATTAACACTGCACAAATATGAAGAAGTAAAGAAAGTTCAATTATTCAACAAAATCTGATAGTGACAGGAGCCAGCCAAACGCCTAGCCAGGGGCAGGTCCCTGATAACACCCCACTTTAAAGCCACAAATAGTCCGTACACTGAAAGACCTGACTGCCTACTAGATGTAACTTACTACCCAGAATGAGAAAACTTCTGTTCTTGTCTGCCCTTCTGCGATTGATTCTTTCTGAATAATATCTTTTAATCAGTGGAGTACTGCCTTTTCCAGTACCAACTAATGTCCGCCCCTCCCACCTTCAAAGCCAATAAAAATGCCCAACTCAGGCATATTAGGGGTACCTTCCCACCTTTCAGTAGTGGGATAAACCCATTGTTGCTTCTCAGGTTTTGCTGTCTTGACTGTTTCATCACTCAATAACTCCCTACCCTATTCACTCTTTGTCAGCATATCCTTACCCTTCTTGGGTGCAGGACAAGAGTGTGAGAACCACCAAAAAGAGGTACAATCTTTTACACAGGTAAGCTGGGCATGCCAGGATGGCTAGGTGAGGCCAGGCAGGGCATCACCAGCCAGGGAACACCAACTTACGAAGTAACTGAGAAGAAAAAACCTGTAACATTTTGGAGGCTCACTCAGGATACCTAGAGGGTGAGTAAATGTGGACCTGAACTCTTTGCTTTTTTTCTGAGACTTCTTGCTCTCAGACTTTCCTCTGAAGGCAGATGAAGCACCAAACTTCTGATGAGCTAGGTAAGAACAATGGCACAACTACACAGGACAAGATTCTGGAGAGGACCCTCCCTCATCACTCCTAGGGGTAGGAAATGTTGGCCTAATTCCAATAGTTTTTTCCCTGTGGCATTTGTCTTCTTTTCAGGGGGCTGTCATGGCATGTTTTTTTTTTTACAACGTTACAAGTGTTGTTGCAAACTGCAGAGATATTATTAGGTGGAAAGAGCATTTGGACCAACCAACAAATGTGCAATTCAGAACACAGTTACTGTCTATTTCTACAGGCAAGCAGAAAGCAGAAATTAAGAGTCTCCCTCCCTGCTCAAAGAACGCATTAGCTTCAAGTAAGAGGCTTTTTCCCCCAAGCACCTTCTCTGCCCTGTACCTAAGCTGTTTAGTTTTTTCTCTTCTCTGCCACATTAGAAGTTAACAGCCATGCAAATGCAGGGAGCTTTTCCATGCAATGGGTTTTTTCTTCTGGAAGGTGTCTTACCAGGCCAGGTCCTCAATTTTCCCTTTCACTCCATTGTTTGAGTCCATCCCGTTGCACAGCTATACCTGAGTATTCAGCTTATTATGATAAGGAGGTAGCAAAAAAAAATAGCCCTGACAGCTGCTGGCTGCAGTCTGGTAAGGGCACCTGGTACCTAATTTAATGAAACCGGCACCTCCCTGAGGCAGTTACTTGTCCCAAACTGAACTCCAAGCTTCAGGCTAAAGCCCTAGAAAGAAAATACTGGATCTGAGGATTCAGGAGACAGACCACAGAATTCAAGGGACACAGTGCAGGTAAGCATGACTAATTCTTGCCAACTGGAATCTCTGTCCCCACCGCCCATTTCATGGATAGAGATCATGCTAGCTAGCATCCATGGCAAAGATGAGATTACAAACAGCAGGAAAAGTAGGCAATGGATAGGTGAATGCAGATACTTCCTACCTGTTACACATGGTGAAAGTTGCATTGGCATCTATGGGCGGCACATGGCCGAGGTCACTGGCTCTCAGGGATATAAAGATGGAAGAAAGAAAAGGGATGCCTTTAAACACACACACACATACACACACACACACACACACACACACACACACACAGAGGGATGCCTTTTCTTTCTCAACCACACACACACACAGGGATGCCTTTCTCTCTCTCTCTCTCTCTCTCTCTCTCACACACACACACACACACACACACACACACACACACACACACACACAATATCACTATTGATATCCTTTGTCAAGTTTTGATTAACGGAAAAAAGGATTAATGAGGCTAGTCTTAACCTGTAGCCAACCTGATATGCTTTATGTGTCGTTCTGCCATAAGGAAGTATACCTTAGGATAGAGCATGGCCTATGACCCCGTAGGCCCACTGTCCAAGTCAGGCCAGCAAACTGGTCAGTAACAAATTTTGATGCAGGTCTCCATTTTGTTTTAGGTCCCTGAGAGCTTGGCCTTGTCACTGTATGGCAGTAAGTACTTTCTCTTGGTCTCTGCCTTTTTACAATGGCAGTGTCCCCACTTCAATCTTGGTATAGGGAATAAGTACTTTCTGGTTAATATCTGTGTGAATTTTACCATTTGCTGATTCTCTTCCCCTCTGTGAATGACTTCTAGCTTCCTTTCTTAAATCTTTCTGTCTCTGAGCTAACTTTAAAGATTCTAGGTTTTGTAAAAACTGTTTACCACTTCTCTGAAAAATAACTCATGCACTCACGCTTAACTCATAACCTTGAATTGAGGCTTGTTGGTTTCCCCTGTGAGGTTACTTTAGGTGAAGTTCAAAAGCCAGAAATATTGGCCACTTGGCATAATAACAAGGGTTTTAAAATTATTTTCTGAAAGAACGGTATGGTGGCTGGACATGGTGGCTCACGCCTGTAATCCCAGCACTTTGGGAGGCAGAGGCAGTCAAATCACAAGGTCAGGACATCAAGACCATCCTGGCTAACACAGTGAAACCCTGTCTCTACTAAAAATACAAAAATTAGCTGGGCATGGTGGTGTATGCCTGTAGTACTGGCTACATAGGAGGCTGAGGCAGGAGAATCACTTGCAGCTGGGAGGCGGAGGTTGCAGTCAACCCAGTTCACACCACTGCACTTTATCCTAGTGAAAGGGCGAGACTCTATCTAACAATAAATAATGTGGTTCAATGTCAGCTTAATTAAAAGTGGATATCCAAGCTTCCAAGCTATAGGTATATTTTAAAGGCATCTGTTTTTTTCTCTTCTTCTGGAAAAAATTGTGTTTTTTTTTTTTCTCCTTAGTCTACTGAATTATTTTTCTGCACTGAGTTGTGTCACTCTTAGTGTATACATGACAGGCTCTGACATAACTTCTGAGAGCATGGGGCTGCCTGGAATAAACAGAAAATGTGCTAGGGACCCCATTTTGGGAAGAAAAAACTAACAAACAAAAACCTCTTAACCTCTTGCCTCGTTTTCCTCACAGAACCCCAGGAATTAAAAGTAAATAGATCCCTCTCAAAATCTGCTTTTGGCCTCCAGCTATCTACTTATTATGCCCTAGAACCTGCATGTTTTCCTGGTCCTGTATTTTGAGGGGCTTCACCCAGTGGTAATCCAATTAGGAGATTAACAAATGAAAAATCTTACAACTACTGAATCTTCTGTTTGTGCAGTTATGTGTGTGATGTTTATGTAAAAAGAGGTCTAATTAATTGGCTTAAGGAAAAATATGTGCTTAGATCAATCATTTTTTCAAGGAAAAATAAAAGTTATAATGTCTTTTAGTTCACCTGACTTTAATCTCTGAGAAATTAAAAGTTTGAAACATTACTTGTAAAATACAATTGTCTTCAAAATGTAAATACATAAATTATGCAGATCAGATATTAGGTTTGCTAAATGTCAAGGTTATAAACTGCTTCTTTGGCTTTTGAGAACTGTTTCACTTGCCTGTTTCACATTATGGTAAGGGCGAGGGACATATGCAATTAACCATGGCTCCTATATATGCTGGAAGAGTCAGACTTTTTCTGTGCCTAGTACATAATCAAAAGAGCTTACCAGTCACTGAAGGTGGCTCACACATGTAATCCCAGCTCTTTAGGAGGCCGAGGCATGTGGATCACCTGATGTCAGGAGTTCAAGAACAGCCTGGCCAACAGCTACAAAAAATTAACCAGGTATGATGGGATGTAACTATAATCCCAGCTACTCAAGAGGCCGCGGAGGCAGGAAAATCACTTGAATTCGGTACGTCACTGCACTCCAGCCTGTGCAACAAGAATGAAATTCTGTCTCAAAAAATAATAACAGTAATAATAATAATGAGTTTACCAAGTGTTACATTAAAATTAAAAATTGCCATGTTACCCATATAACAGGTAAATGAAGCTACTGAAAACAGATTTACACAGAAGCTGTGTAATAAAAGTAAAATATGTTAGCAGTAAAAAATTATAAAAAGGCATGGCAAAGTAAATGTTTTCTTAGGTACAAGGGTGGAAGCATTGCTTTAACTTACATGAAATGGG